AGAACCTTTTTTCAAAAGGTAAGGCAAACCTCCTTAATTTGTATGTATGTATGTATTTATATACTTATTGACTTATCTGAAAATGTTAATACAACATTTTTGTCCCCCACCCCAGCACCTAATTTGAAAAAGCAAAAATAAGAAATTTGGGTTCTGCAAGCAATTCTGTATGGCCCTCTACTCAAGTCATGGGGTTATTTGCTGATGTAGCGGTTCATCTAAACTAGGGGCAGGCAAAATACAGTCCACAGGCCAGATCCAACCCGCCAAGCACTTTCATCCGGCCTGCAGGCACCCACCAAAGTATTGTACCCTGCCCAGCCCTACTACCCACAAGGGTGGAAGGAAGGCACCCACATATACACCCCTTTCCTGCCCCCCAATATACCCTATTGCACCTTGCTCCCACCCTTATGGGCGGAAGGGCCGGGCCCAGCCCAGCCAACAGCAGCTTCTGGCCAGAGTTACTGCTGCTGCTGCCACTGCTGCAGCTGTCCCAGGGGACCTACTTGTATTCCCCGACATCCTGCTCACTCTGGGCAGCAAGTAGGGAAGCAGCAGGTGTGTGGGCAGGGCAGGAGTGAGCTGCAGCTGGGTGAGTACAGGGAGCATGGGGCTGTCGGCAGCACCAAGCCCGCACCCAGAACAGGCAGTGGGAGCACAGAGCTCAGTTGGGTAGGGTGTGGGGATTCCCTACACACTCCCCTATATGGCGCGCAGCCCCTGTTGCAGCAGCAGGCAGGGGTGCTTGGGGTGCTTGTGTCCTCCACAGGTGCTGGTTCATGATGGCACCCGGCTCCAGCCAGGTGGGGTGAAGAGCACAGCTTGCCTGGCCCATCTCTAATGCAGGGGCTCTGCACAGTGTGCTTGCAGCTCCCGCATGTGCATGGCACTGAGGGAAGCTTCACACTGGAGCCATCTGCCTTTGCTGCTCCTTGCTGTGCAGGTCCCAGAACTCCACAGGGGAGCAAACCTCACACACCCACACCCTGTCCCCACATCTTCCCCACATGCACCCCTCCCAGCATATCCTGTGCCCCCCCATACACAGCCAGACCTTGCACAACCTCTCCTACACACACCTAACTGCACCCCCCACACGCAATGTACACAAGTAAAACTATTTTTGAGTTATTGTGCAAACCTCTTTATATACAGTAAGCAAACACAAATCATGGCAAATATTTTTTGTAATAAAATTAAAATATGTTATAGCAGGTGTTTGACTTTTAGTGTATGATTTAGTTTTTTTCTGGTTCCAAGATGGCAACCCTCCCCTCCTAAAAGGAGTATTTCTGTGGGGTGGCAAGGGGAGTGTCAAAGGTTAGGGGGAGGGACTTTTGTCCAAATATGGTGACCAGGGCGGGGCTACCCTTATGGCCCTTGACGGCTCACCAAAACTTGTTAAGCCACCCTCCAGCCAAAATAATTGCCTGTCCCTGAGCTACACTGACCCAATTGTAGGATTTTAATCTCAGGCAGTAAAAATATCAAAGTGCCCGTTGGGGAGGGTGGGGATTGTAAGAGACCCATCATATTTGTAGAGACTGTTAAGGTCTTTGTTGAAAAATATTGTACGTACAAAAGTGTTTAGTGTTGCTGGACATGTTGTCTGGTATTCAGAAGAGTTGGGGGAGAAGCTCTGGAATGATGCACAGTAATAAAAGGAGAAATAGATTTCATTAACGTTTTCTTAAAGCGTATTCATTTCAGACAGATTACCAGTTGATGAATCTTAGTGCTTTGGGGATGCGACTGTGTCATCACAGTGTGTTAACTTATCAGTATGTTAATTGTGTATTCTAATTAAACAGTTTATTTCTTCTTTTGGCTAAAGGATGAGTTGCTGGTACAAGGCATGTATTGCCTCACAGCAATGATGAAAAAATGAACCAAGGAATTAAATCCATTTGCATTGCTCATTTGTTGATGCCACGTTTCTGTAAAAATGAATTTGCAGCTTATGATTTTTTATTTTTTTTAGCATTGAAGTGATCATTGCTTAATCATAGGTTTGACTAGTACCTATAGCATCCTTGGTAGACATTTGGAAAGACCTTATGGATGTGAAACTAGATGCATTGACTATTTTAATCTTCACAGGAAAAATATGGTGCCTTTATCTTACGTTCTCCGAGTTCCTGGGAAACTCTTCATAAAATCAAATGATGTTTGCCAAATCTATATCTTTGGAGAGCTTGTACATTTTATTAGAGGGATAAAAACTAAATCTTCAGCTCTTTCTTTTCTCTCTAATACCACAGAAGTATTTTTCCTTGTGTCATGAGATGCACTGTGCATCTTTATTCTTAAGAATTAGCAAATCCAATCACCCCAGTAATTCTTGAGCTGTATCTCTAATTGGTCCAGGGCTCAGAGCACATTATAAAAACTATTCGTTTGGATTCTCAGAGGAGATGTGCTTGGCTCATCTTCATGTCCTTCATTATGTTACAATCTGTAATGTCACCACATGTAAAAGTCACTGCAGCACTGAGTTGCTGTGAGAGAGCTGCAATTGGTTACTGTTAGTGATCAGCGGGGGGGGGGAAGCAGTAGTATTATCGAATTAACCTATTACTTAAATCACGAGCGAGACTTTATAAAGGCAAGACTTTATAAGGTAAGGTGCCACATTTATTTATCACATGAGTTAGACATAGAGGTTCGGACACACTGTTCATACAAACGCACACAAATCATCATACACATCGTTATACACAGGCATACACGTACACAAAACAACCATTTCATCTACACATACACCAGATATAGTTACTAGCGATAGTTGCTCAATATCAGCCCAGGGTGGCCATCCTGGGCTTACTGAGTAGATGATGATGGTTTGAAGATGGCAGAGTTGAACATAACAGCTGGAGCAGGGTGAATAGATGCATCTGTGCTCTGAAACAGCAGTAGAGAAAGAGACTCGCCCAACTTGACATTTTCAAAATGTTCTTTTATAGGGATTGGCATCCTTTGTTTCAGTGCTTTGGGGTTTTTCCATATCCAGCTTCTGTTTTTGCGGTTGTTCTACTTTTGTTTTCAGCTTATGTTAGCCTTGGAGTATTCTTGCTGCCTGTCTGGCAGGATGGGTGCATTCCTTCTCCTCAATATCTTCTTTGTGTCCTAGGCCTAAAATGGATTCTTCAGCCATTCATTAATTAGTTTACTGACTGGTAACTTACATTTGGCACCTTGTTGCTTACATAAACACTTAAATCTTCTCTATGCCATTCTCTCTCCATTCACCCTTTTATACACACTCATACATAAAGGCTAGGTAGAGTTCATCCACTTATGTCAAGCAGAAGGATACAAAATGGAGTTTTCAAGTTGCTTACAGGACAAGACTAACATGGTTATATTTCACTATTTTTACACTCTATGTTAACATCAGCTACATTAGTTCAGTTCATGCTACAGTAGTACCTAGTTTTAAAAGTTCTTGTCCCCTGCTCAGGAATGCTGTGACCCCAGCACACTGCTGTCCTGCAATTGGAACACTCTACAACACCAACACTTTTGAATCCTTCAAATCCTGTGATAAGAAATTGCTTTTGGAAAAAGCAGCAAATGAGGTAAGACTTAGAAACATCTAGAGCAGCAAGGATTTGGATAAAACTAATAAACTACTTCACAGCTTGAGCCCTGGATGCTGGAGGTATTATCATTTCTCACTGGCCCATCTAACTACCTCTTCAGGGGCAATCTGTTGAAGGGAGCAGCAGCAATTAGCTGATGGTCCTTGGTAGTCAGCATGGTGAGTCCTTCTACATAATTCTCTAATCTTAGCAGCTCTTTTCAATTTGACAGTTACTTGCATTGAAGAGGGTTCTTACATAGCTCTTGTAAAACCCATAAATGAACTACTGCCTGCTTTTGGTCTTCCGATTCTCACAATACACTCTTGGAGTACAAGTAATGGGGGAATCCCAAGATAAAATGGAGATGAATGAGATACATTGGCAGGAAGGTTACTTGGCCTGACTGAACAGGAGGAGAAGGGTAGGGAAGGACTACACCTGCTTCTTGAAGAGCACTTGCAGTATCAGTTGCTGAGAGAGGCTTTATAACCTGAAAAAGAGAATGTTTTTGAAATGCTACTTGTATTTGCTATCTGTTTTCCCTTGACCTCTCTTGCTCATCTAGGTCACCTGCAGGCCTTGGTTAGCAGATTTTTTTTCCACATCTCCTCTTACAAAGTCATTATTTTTCCCTTAGTTGTGCAGCTTTGCCATGTGAAAGATGATGATACACTAACTTTGTCCCTTTGCAAGAAAGAGAGAGGTCAAAAAATCTAGGTTATCCCACTAACAATAAATTCAGCTGGTTGATTTTATTTAGAACTGTATACATTGCCACCTTCCTTTGGCTCACAAGACTCTTCTGTCATTGAGTTAATTTCAGTACCTGTAGGTCTGGGCTATGCAAATGGAAGCCTGTTTAACATATGGCCCACAGACTGCAGCAGCAGCCTCTCACCACTGCAGAGGAGGAAGGGCTAGGGTTCCATGCACAACCCACAGGGTGGGAGGCAGGGGGGCACTGAATGCCACTGGTATTGTGTGGGAGCTGCATGCTGTCCGTGTAGTAGAAGAAGCAGGGCCACCAGCAGGAGCAACAGCTTCCCTTCACCTTCCCTGCAGTAGCTCCAGCCCTGACTGCAGGGAGAACAGAGCAACAGTGGTGCACAGTGTAGGAGCAGTAGCTGGAGGTTTGCTGCTGTGGGGAGGCAAGCAGATATCTCCTTTCTCTGTTTGCCACTGGAAATCAATGTTGAATGGCTGCTTAACATGTGTCAGAGGCAAAAGAAAAGGAGGTGACAATTCCTCCCAATTCCCATAGCAGCAAACCTCTGGTGGTTGCATCAGCACTGTGTGCTGCCGTCACCCAGGGCACAGTGCTGGACACTTATACCTTTGCTTGCCTGGCAGAATGAAATGCAACTTCAAGCCCAAGTTGGAGGTATTGCGTCACCCCACCCAAACAAGAACACTTGATAAATACATAACCAGCGGTGACTGCTATAGCACACGTTTATTTCTGGGTGGGATCAAGTGATGAAAGATCACTGTGGATAATTGGGATTGTTTGATCTTTTAACATATATGCAGTTCTCTTCCACTTAGTCTTGATGCTTTTTTTCTCATTTGTTTTTCCCTGACAGATATGGGAGGCAATAAAATCAGGGACTGCTCTTGAAAACCCTATGCTCTTGAATAAATTTATGCTGCTGACTTTTGCTGTGAGTAAATTTAATTCATTCCACATTTTGAATACTGAAATAAAAATAAGAATGTATTATTAGCTTTTCAGTGAGGATACTGTAGCAGGCACTTACAGGCTCGGTGGCACCAAACTGACTAGTACCACAACTGAAAGGGACCTAGGTAAAAGACCATAGTATGAACTTGAGCTGTCAGTGTGATGCTGTAGCCAGCAGGGCAAACAATACTTTGGCATGCATCAACCAGTGCATTTCAAGCAAAACCAAGGAAGTGATTCTTCTGCTTTACTCAGCATTGCAGCTGGAGCACTGCATCCAGTTCTGGGTGCTGCACTTCTACAAGGATGTGGAAAAGCTTGAGACAGTCTAGAGAAGAGCCACTCGTATGATCAGAGACTTGCAAGGCAAGCCATATGAGGAAAGACTGAGAGGGGACGTGGTAGCTATATCAGGGGAATATATGAAGGGCTCGGTGAACAACTATTTACCAGGACACCCTTGGAGAAAACCAGGAGTAATGGGCACAAACTCCTGGAAGCCCATTTTAGGCTTAACACTAGGAAAAATTTCTTCACAGTCAGGGTGTCCATACTGTGGAATTAGCTCCCTACAGAGGTGGTGCAATCACCTAATGTGGAAATCTTCAAGAAGAGACTGGACAGTCACCTTGCTGGGGTCACCTGACCCCAGTTGTCTTTAGTGTAGGGGGGCTGGCCCTGATGATCTTGCAAGGTCCCTTCCAGCCCCTTACAATCTATGAGTCTATGAAAGTACTAATATTATTGAGTTTAAATTCATGAACTTTTCTTTTCCATTAATATAAAGGATTCTACAATTCTGTATATGAAAACAGTTTATTGCAGTTGTTTAAAGTTCTTCCTCAGTTGAAGACAGTAAAAGTAAAGCCAGATCAAGGAACCCACAAAGATTAGTTGCACATTTCTCAGTTGGGGAGTTCACTGGAGAGGTGGGAAGGTGAAAATGAATGTCCCAAGTCTGAAAATGAATGAATATTTCTCAGTTGTCTGTCACTGTAGGGGTACACACACTTGGCTCCTGTGTTGAATAGTTTCTAACACTTCTTTTTTTATATATACTTTTCAACCTGTAGTGATTCACAAGCAATTTTAGGCACAGCTCTTGTTTCCATAACAGTGAGGCTTGCATCAGGACATCCCACACCCAAAATCTTAATTTGAAAATCCGTCAGTAGCACTCAATAAGGCATTCACTATCCAATACTCTATAAGGCATTTGCACCTATCTCTGACAGATCATTGAAAGCAGCACATACCCTAACAATTCCAACTTGTACTTGCAAAACCTCAGTGCAGATTGCCTCAACAGATTGGCACATCTGAATTTTAGTCCAGGGCTGTCTAATGTCTGGATGGCGAGTGGTGGCATGACATGTGGGCCCTGTGCAGCCAGGCTTTCTCCTGCTGTGTGGGCCATGTGGGCTTTCCCCCACTGCAAGCAAAGCCCAGGCAGTGAAAACTCACTTTTAGTGGTGCACTTAGCTCCTCTCTTGTGGTGAGGACAACCTGGATTTCCCCTGCCACATGTATGGCATTCAGTACTTGGCCCCATCCTGCTCTGCTTCCAGAAATGGAGGCAGGAAGCACAAGCTGGAGGAGGCAGGAGGAGTCTGGACACTCCAGCTACCTAAGTTGTTGGAGTGGTGGGGGCAGCATCTGTTGGGCAGAAGCCTGGGGGCCACACTTAATACCTCGGGGGCCACATGGAGCCTATGGGCCACCAATTGGACGGCCCCAATAAGGTTCATTAGTTTAGAAAGCTCTTTTTTTTTAACACTACTCGTATCCAAACAATTGAAAGTTTTAACAAATATTGGTCAAAACCATGTGTATAAAAATGAATGATAATGCTCTTCAGAAGTTTGACATATTAACTTTTGGAACAGAGATGACTGAGCTCATGTGATGCATGCACTGTGAGTCTTTTTCCTCTCCAGAGTGTCTTAAAATGAATTTACTTTGCCAGCTATAGAAAGCATTTGAAATGAATCCTATAGTTCAAGCAAACAGGACATCAGTTTGTGCCAAGTAAACTGCATGTTACATCACTTATCTGGCTTTAAAGACTGATTTGATTCTAGTGTAATTAAAACCTGTTACTGAAAGTATCCCAGGAGTTATGGAATTTAGGTCACTAAGCACCTTTACTGTATTAGGCAGCATTGTATAACCTCTGAATCAGCAGAATTGTTTCAGCTGTATGCATGGAGGTAGTTAGCTATCTTGGTCTGAAGTCAGACAAACGGTAGGGGAGGGCAGAACTTAACTGGGTCTGGGAGGCATGAGCTTTCATATACAACAACCTACTTGGTCAGATGCTATGAATGAACTATGGTATATAGACAAGCTGGACATGGGTATGGGTGTGTGTATGTGTAATTAGGCCTGTGTGAAGTGCCAAGTATTCAGCTTGGATTTGGCTGATTTGGAGGGCCAGTGATTCTATTCAGTGAGTCGGAGATTTGACCATAGACTAAACAGGCAGCAGTCCTCGACGTTAGACACAGCTGCCTCTAGCTGGTAAATTTGCTG